TGATAGTTCCCTAGTTTTAAAGTAAACTCTGCATCCTTACACGTAACTTAGTAGGTTTAAAATGAACCAGTAGTCCATGGTAAAAAAATGCTCTTGTGTTAAGCGCCGGTGAGGTATCATAGAACGTTAAATGTTAAGTAATAATGTTAGAATAGAAATTATTTAAATGAAAATTAAGGCCGTATGTAGTGGGGAAGCTTTTAATCCCAGCACTCAGGAGGCAGAGGCAGGTGGATTTTTGTGAGTTCAAAGCCAGCCTGGTTTACATAGTGAGTTCTAGGTCAGCTGGGGACTATAGGAGACCCTGTCTGAGAGAGAGAGAGAGAGAGAGAGAGAGAGAATATAAATATGAATTAAGGGTATGCTTGAGTAACATTACCATAAAAGGTGACAGTGATTGGCCAGTTAATGGTGCATACTTGAAGTGTATTGGGTTGGCATTCCGTATTTCAGACTGTCAGATTGTTATGAGTTGTTATGTAAGATGATGAAATATTAGCAAAGTGTAAAAATTAATAAAAATTTCAAAATTGGGAATATGAATAAAGACTTGGTGGGAAAGGTGGGAAAACAAGTTTAAATAAAGACAAGAGTCTCATTGTGTAGCTCAACCTGCCCTTTACTGGGATTACAAGTATGGGCCACTCAACCTAACTGATTAGGATTATTAGGGCATTTTCTGTCAATGGGCACTGCCCATTCAGTATTGATTTTTATATTTTAAATTATTTACTAAAAAGATCGGCCACATACAGAGAGTACAGTTGAGTTACTGATGACTTTGGAAAATTGACATTTTTAGTATGTACATTTCTTACCCTGGGATATTTAGGTTTATATGGCATTTTAACTTTTTTAAATTTATTATTTTTATGTGTATGAGTGTATTGCCTGCAGGTATGTGAGTGCACCCGTGTCGTACAATGCTGTGAAGGTCAGAAGAGGGCTTCGGATTCCCCTGAAACTGGAGTTAAGGACGCTTCATAACCTCCATGTGGGTGCTGGGAATTGAACCCGGGTCCTCTGCAAGAGCAGTCAGTGCTCTTAACTGCTGAGCCACCTCTCCAGCCCCTTACATGACATTTTAAAACTTTAACATTGAACACAATCTCAGGATCTTATGGAAAACTTAACGGCATTTTTTTCCTTTAGTGTTAGTTTATGAAGCTTATACAGTCAAGATGAAAACAAGTGCAGATAATCTTAGCAATTTAAAAACTGTCCCCTCTTTCACTTTAGGGCTGTTCAGTTAGTAGGTGGCAGAGCTAGGATTTAAACCCAGACACTTTATATTCACAATCCAAACTTGCAGTAAAAGGCAATAAAATATCCCACAAAGTAGCCTGTTTGAGTGCCTGCTGCGTAGCATTTGGATAGTCATCTGCTTCATGCTTGACCTTGACATAACAGCGTAGTGTCAATATTGGTGAAAGCAGAGAGACTTAATTTTGTTGAGTTGCTGAGTGTTACAGGTTTCTTTTGAGACAGGGTCTCACTACATAGTCCCAGCTGGCCTGGAACTTGCTATGTAGACTGCCTCAAACTCAAAATCTACCTGTCTCTGCCTCCTGAGCGTTGGGATTAAAGGCATGCACCACTATGCCTGGTTGAGTAGCAGTTTATTAAATAGAATGCAGTATTGTGTTTGGGGTACAGAAATATGCTGCTTATATGAGTAGGATTAAGATAAATCCAGCACTCAAAACCCGGGAGCGGAGAGAGGAGGATTGCTATAAATTTAAGACTACATGGGACTGCATAGTGAGAGCTTTGGGAGGGGGGCGGTAGGGAGACTTATTAGTAAGATAATGTAGGTAAAGTTGCTATAGTTTAATTGGGATTATTCACTTACAACAAAGGATCACATTTTAAACTTATATTGTACCATTAGACGCCATTTTGTAGCTACTTGAACAAGTCTCAATAGTTTTAACTTGGCTGCTTAGGAATTTTCAGTGTTCTTTTGGACTTCATTGAAAAGTTTGCATCTCTGCAGAAGTGATAGCAACTTGAAAATCTTCTATTCAAGGCAGTCTATTAGGTAGTAGACATTGAGCTTTAAACAAGATATAATTGTATAAAATATTTTAACTTGGTATTAATCTTTAAGCCATCTCAGAATGAGAGGAAATTCATATTCATGTTACTGTAATAGAGAGACTGAAATAAGTGCACATTTGTCCATAAAGGTAAACAGACCTCCCACTGTACTGTGCATATTGGATAAAAATGGAGTGGATTTCCTCTGTCCTGTTTAGTAAAGATGGACTAAATTTGGTGTTGTGTTCATTGTGGCGTGTTCATTTTTCTGCTTGTCTGTTCAGCCTTAATTAGAGCAGAAGAGTGCTTTTTGTGCTGCCGAATCCCAATCCATTTGTCTTAATGAAGAGCCATGTAGGCTGTAGCTCAGAAGGTAGTACTGTATTTTACACACAACTTTGAAAGTTTGACCCTTGACTAACAATGTGCAAATGGAAATGGGGAGGTGTTCATTATAGAACAGCAACTACTAATTAATTTGACAAAACTGAAAGAAAACTTTTTAAAAACTAAGTAATAAGGTGCAACTGGTGTAGTAGTAGGTAACTAATTTCACAGTGCCCTGTGGACATACTATAATAGTTTAGTAGTGGTGGCTGATCCATGAGTTAATGATTATTGTATTTAAGAAGGCAAACGTGTGGCTTGTAGAAAACTCATTCCTTGAAGCTAGCCATGGTGGCTCACACTTGTAATCCCGCACTTAGGAGGGAGGGAGAGGCGGGAGAATTGCCATGACTTTGAGGCCAGCTTGTGCTATAGAATAAGACCCTGTCTCAACTACCCCCCCCCAACATTTCATTTCAAAAGTTGGCAGGCTAAAAAAAAAATTGAAGATGAATTAGGGAGGCTAAGCAGTACTTGAAGAAAAGTGGAATGGTTGAGTCCTCATTCTCTATAGAAAATAGATACTGTGTTTTTTTTTCCTGTTTTTGAGAACTAGAAATCATACATAATTCATAAAAGTTATAGTTGGCCAGAATATTTTATATTCTGAACTAAGGTAATTTGTTTAAAGAGGAGTATTTTCAGTGAACTCTTTTTTTTTAGCTCTGTTAAGGGTGGGAAGTTAGTTTATTTTGGGTTTTTTGCATAGTGCCTTACTGGGCCAGTTGATGAACTGGCTTGCATGTCTTATATTAAAGAAAATTAATTTCCTATCTGAAAAGCAGGTGGCTTGAGAATAGTAAATACCTCATTGTAGGTGTTAATATTAAAACTATTTTGTTTAGACCGAAATTAAAAAATATTTACGTGTATGAATGTTTTGCTTGCCTGCATTTGCATGCTTGGTGCCCATGGCCAAAAGGTGTTGGATCCCCTGGAAACTGGAGTTAAGGATGATGTTGGCTGCCATGTGGGTGCTGGGAACTGAGCCAGGGCTAGAGAGTCTTTAGACTGAAATCATTTTAAACTGTTCAGTTATTCATAGAAAATTTCTATAATCACAGAAATGGTGATTTGATAGTTACATTTCAACCGAATCTGAACCCAGGTCTTCTGCAAGAGCAGTGATCTTAACCACCAACCCATCTCTCCAGCCCCTATACTCTCTCATCTTAAACAAACAGACAAAACCCTTCCACCTCACCTTGAAAGTGTAAGTGTTGGCAGTGAATTTTTCAACTATGAAGTATTTGAACCTTTGGTTTAAAAATAGTGTGTTTATAGCAGTAATTATTTCAGAAAGAATTACATATTACAAGTTGCATTTCAGTTGAGAAATGTGTGTTGAGAAATCCCAAGTTTCCACGGAATTGACAATAAACAAACATTAAAATACCTACACAACATTGGATTTTGGGTATATATCTTTTAATTGTAAAATACTAAGTGGGTATAAATCGTACTTCAGGAATGGGAACTTGGAGAAAGTCTTAAAAGTTGCGCCTGTAAATGACCTGGATCTAGGAAAGCTCAACAATGTAATACCAAAAGTAGAAATTCTTCTGCACTGAGAGTTCCTTTATCATTAGGAGTTGAACAGATCTATGGCAAGAAAGATGCAATAAGATTTTTTAAAATTTTTGATAAAATGGACAGATGTAGAAAAGTTTACAACTGCTTGCCAGAACTATCCTTTTTGGCATTTTGCTGAATGTTGAGACTTAACCCTAAATAATATTCTTTCTTTCTTTCTTTCTTTCTTTCTTTCTTTCTTTCTTTCTTTCTTTCTTTCTTTCTTTCTTTCTTTCTTT